ACTTGCATATGTACATGTCTTTATCTAGACCTCTATAAATGCCCTTTGCCTCCCAGCTCTTTCCTCTATTTCCCTTGATTTTCCTCCTGTCCCACTATCATGCTCAGTCCCCGATAGTTTTCTTTAATGTGAAGAGACTTAACACAACTTTGAGGTTTGTTTTCCTTTGTTGGTTTGGTTTTCCACTATTAAAAGTGAGTTGCCTCTTTTCCTTTTACGGTATATGTTTCTCAGTGCTTCTTTAATTAATTTTGAAATTATGTATTTATATATTCCATACCAAAATATGTAATCATACTTACGTAAGATTGAGGAATATTAATCAAAATATAGCATTGTTAGCAGTTCTACAGATGATGGAAAATGTGTATTTTTATAGTCATTACTACGATATAGGTAGGTAGTACACACACATAAACTTATCTTGAAGGTTTTATCTCTTCTTGGAATTTTTTTCCTGTACTATGGTGTTTTTTTATGTATTAGCATTTCAGTATTAAATGATTATATGACTAATTATATATAATTAGCCATTTATTTAAGGGTACTGAGAGCTGAGGTTTTGCCTCTTGTCCGAGTTGTTTTTGAGGTGGTATTGGTTGGTTCTAACACATGGTGACCCTGTGTACAGGAGAACAAAACACTGCCCCTTCTTGTACCATGCTCACTAGGGTTGCATTTGAACCCAGTGATGCCGACGCTGTCAAACCATCTTTCAGAGGCTCTTCTTTTTACTTTGACACGCTACTTCACCAAGCATAATATGCTTTTGCAGGGACTGGTCTCCTAATCAAGTGTCCAAAGTATGTGAGACAAACCTTTCACCCTCCTTGCTTCTAAGGAACATTCTTGCTGTGGTTTTTCCAAGACAGATTTATTTGTTCTTCTGGCAGTCTATGGTATTTTGAATATTCTTCACTAGTACCGTAATTGAAGTGTATCAATTCCTCTTCAGTCTTCCTTACTCATTATCCATCTTTTACTTGAATTTGAGGTGACTGAAGTAGCATGGTTGGGTCAGGCCCAAATTAGTCTTCAGAGTAACATCTTGGTCTTTAACAATTTCAAGAGCTCTTGTGCTGCATATTTACCCAATGCAACACATGGTTTGATTTCTCTACTGCTGCTTCCATCAGTGTAGATTGAGGATCCAAGAAAGATTAAATCCTTGAAAACTTCCATCCTTTTTCTGTTTATCATGATGTTGTCTATTGGTCCAGTTGGGAGGATTTGTTTTTTATGTTAAGTTGTAGTCTGTCCTTCGTCTTCATTTATCGGCCAGTGCTTCAAGTTCTCCTTGTTTTCACAAACAGAGTTGTGTTATCCACATATCTCAGGTTCTTAATAAGTCTTCCTCTGATCTTGATGCCGCATCCTTCTTCATGCAATCCAGATGCTCAGGTTATTTGCTCAGCGTACACATTGCACAAATACAGTGAAAGGATACTTTGCTGACCACTCCTCTCCTGATTTAAAACCATGCTGTCAGTATTCCCTTGTTGTTTGAACTGCTGCCTCTTGGCCCATGTACAGGCTCGCCATGAGCATGGTGGAGGGCTTTAGAATTCCCATTTTTCTCAAATCCATCCACGCATGTCTGCTGCCTTTGAGTCATCAATGAAACAAAAGTAGAGGTCTCTCTAGTGTTCTGGTATCCCTTCCTTTGGCAATATGCATCTGATGTCAGTAACGATATCCCTTGTTCCATGGCCTTTCGAATCCAGCTTGAATTTCTGGCAGCTCCCTATCAATGTACTGCTGCAACCATTTTTTAATGATCTTCAACAGATATTACTTGCATATGATATTGTTCGGTTATTTCCACATTCTGTGAGCTCATCTTTCTTTGAAATGAGCAGAAATGGAACCTTTCTCATCAGTTGGCCAAGTATCTGTCTAAATTTCTTGTTATAGGTGAGTGAATGTTTTCAATGCTTCAGCAGCTTGTTGAAACATGCCGGTTGGTCTTCCGTCAATTCCTGGAGCCTAGTTTTTGGCTAAGTCCTTCAGTGCAGCTTGAACTTCTTCCCTCAATACCAGTGGCTCTTGATCATATGCTACCTCTCGATATATGGACCAGTTCTTTTTGACAAAATGACTATTTCTTTTCTCTTTGATTATTTTTTAAAAAAATAATTAAATCATTTTATTGGGGGCTTGTACAACTCTTATCACAATCCACACATACACCCATTGTGTCAAGCACTTTTGTACATTTATTTCTATTTGAGCCCTTGGTATCAGTTCCTCCTTTTTTTTTCCCCTCCCTCCCCCTTCCCCACTCCCCATGAACCCTTGATAATTTATAAGTTATTATTATTATGTCTTATCTTACACTGTCCGATGTCTGCCTTCACCCACTTCTCCGCTGTCGGTCCCCCAAGGAGGAGGTTATATGTACATCTCTGATTATTTTGATCCTAATATCCTTCAATATTGTAACTCATGGCTTAAATGTTTTCTTCAGTTCTTCCAGCTTTAGATGTACTGAACATATTCTTCCTTTTTGGCTTGCTAAGTCCAGATCTTGGCACATTTCTTTAATACTGTGCCTTAAGCTGCCCTTTGAAATGATCTGTTCAACTCTTGGGCTTCGTCACTGATTCCTTTAGTTCTAGCTACGCAACGTTCCAGAGCAGATTTTCGAGTCTCTGATATCCACTATGTTTTTCTTCTTGAGTCACCTTTCGCTTTTTTCACACAGTAGGCCCTTGGTGTCATCACACAGCGCACAGTTCTCCTTGGTGTTCAGTAAGTCAGCGTTCGTGAGATATTTTGCCATTTCTGGACTTGTTTCCATTTTCTTCAGCTTCCATCTGAACTTACACATGAGCAGTTGATGGTCTGCTCCACAGTTGGTCCCTGGCCTTGTTTTGGCTGATGATTATCAGGATTTTTACAGTGTCTCATTGATTCTTCTGTATTCCATGTGGCCAAATTCACATGTACAATAATCATTTCTGTGGTTGAAAAAAGTATATTTGCAATGAAGGTGCCGTTGGTCTTAGAAAATTTTATCTTGCTGTCTCCATCTTTGTTTCTTCAGTCACCAAGGCCTTGTTGTCCTGCAACTGTTCTTTCTATTTTCAGTAATTATCCTTGCATCGTGATTGTGTGTGTGACCAATTTCAGACTGAAGATGTTGGTAGCATTATTCAATGTATTCTTCATTACTAGATTTAGTAATTGGTATGTAAATTTGAATAGTTATATTAACTGGACTTCTTATAGGGAAGTCCATATATCATATTCTTCAAAATAGAGAACTTGGAAATGATCTTTTTGATGATTAATGCAGTGCCATTCCTTTTGAACCTGTCACTGACCACATAGTAAACTGTATCATTGTCTGATTCACAATGACTGATGCCATTCCATGTTAGCTGACCAACACCTAGGATATCAATCTTTATGCACTCCATTTTACTTTTGTTTACTACCAATTATCCTAGAAGCATGCTTCATCCGTTTTTTGTTACTATCATTAATGGGAGGAAGTGGTGTGGTGTAACGGGCTACCCACTGGGCTGAAAACCTCAAGGTGCCCGCCACTTAAATCCACCAACTGTTCCACAGGAGAAGCATGGGACTTTCTACTCCCTTAAAGATACACAGCCTCAGAAACCCAAAGGGGAGTTTTACCCTGGCCTATAGCATCACTATGAGTTGGAATCGATTGGGTGGTATTAAGTTTGGTTTTGGATATTATTAATGGATGTTGGCTTCTGTTTTGTTTTTTTTCTTTTAATTTTGAGTCACTCCCACCAGCAAATGTCTATTAATATCAACCCTGTTTTGTTTTGGGTGCTTTCCAACCTGAGGGGCTCATTTTCTGGCAATATATCTGACATTGTTGTGCTGCTCTGCAGAAGGCTCTTAGTGGCTAATCCCTCAGAAGTGACTAGCCTATTCTTCAAAGTTTGCTCTTAGCTTGGAACTGAAATATGTTCACCATGGGTGATGTACTGGTATTTGAAACACCAGTAGCACAGCTTCCAGCACCACAGCATCATGCAAGCTGTACAGTACAGCAAACTGACAGATGTAGTGGCCTTAAAGAGGCATACATATGCAAATGGATTGAGAACTATTGGGTCCTATTTACGACTGCATTTTCGTGTTCAGAACATTTCATGTTCATGTTCAGAAATGTACAGAACCCTGGTAGGACTGTCAGATAGATGAGCATTAGATCGCTAACTGTGCAGTAGGCAATGTAAACCCATCAATTGCTCCAAGGAGGAAAATTGTGGCTATCTGCTCCCATGAAGATTTATAGCCTGGAAAATCCTCATTAGAGGTGCTATAAGTTGGAATCCACTGGATGCCAGTGGGGATCATGTAGTAGGGAAGAGTTCTGGAACCACAGTGTGGTAATTGTTGGCGGCTTACCAAAAAGTCCATTGATTAAACTCACTAGCCCTTTTGTGGGAAAAACATTAGGTTCCTATACAGATTTACGGTCTTGGAAATCCTGTGGAGCAATTCTACTCTGTCCTTTAGTATCTCTAAGTTGAACTCTACCCAACCGAATGTAGTTTTTTGTTTGTTTTTGATACTTATAGAGCATTAAGTATCTCCTTTTCTTTTGGTTCAGCTTTTAGTTTTTTTCTAAGGTAACCAGTATCCCTTGTTCTCTCCAGGTTTGTTTTGTGAATGTGAGGGACTTCAAAAGGCCCATGGAAAATTTATTTATGTACACATCTACGGAGATAGATAGATTTCTGTCTATAGAGAGAAATACTTTTTTTCATAAAAAGTAAACCACTCTTGGTTAGACATGCAGCTTTAAAAAGTTAATTGAAAAATTCCATTGTCTTTTCATTCTTTTTCCATGAACTTTTTGAAGCCCCTTTTTAGTCCAGCCTTTGAAACTTTGTGATCTACCTTATTTATGGACCGAATATTCTCAGGCTTTGTGTTGCTCCCTCTGTCAAGTGCACGCCCTATTGGCAACGCCATGCACAGTGCAACCAGACAGACAGATTAAGCCATCAGGATGTTGTGACCCATAGGATTTTCATTGGCTGAGACTTGGAAGAAGATCTTCAGGTCTTTCTTCCCAGTCTGTCTTAGTCTGGGAGCTTCAATGAAACCTACTCCGCATTGTAGTAACACACAAGCCTCCCCTGACAGAAGGGTGGTGGATGTGCCTGCGTGCAGGTCAGGAACTGAACCTGAGTCTCCTGCATGGAAAGCAAGAATTCTGCCACTGAACCACTGTTGCCTCCATTACTCAGGCTTGGCAGAAGGGTGAAGGGAGGTGGTGCAAACTGTAAACTCAAGACTGCTGGCTGGAAGCTTGGAGGCCCAAGGCTACCCAGTGTTGCCTTGGAAGGAAACGCTGGCAGTCTACTTCTGAAAAATCTTCCAAAGAAATTCCTATGGAGCAAAGCTCTACTCTCACACAGGTCACCGTGAATTTGAATAGACCCAACTGTCCTTATTCCCTCTTTAGAAATTGGTCAATGTTTTCCTGTTTCCCCTTTCCAACTTTTTATGTACACAAACCCCTACTAGCTTTAAAAAAAACTGGAATCTGTATAAGGCAGAAACTTGTCGGAAAAAGAAAGCAGATATATCCCACTAGCAGAGAGTGGTAGAAACTTTCAAAGGTGGAAAAAGGCTGTGAGAGCTGGACAGACCAGCCAGTCTGGTGGAAGGAATGCTGGCTTTCACAGGTTTCACTGTTTGTTTCATTCCACAACTAACTCATTAAGCAGATCCTAGCTAATGTTAGTTAAAAACAAGCTTACATAATTAAGATGTGATTATAAATAATTTTTCACAAGTACTTTCATTTTTAAGGAAAAATGCCTATATCATAACTGCTGATGAGTGTCAGAAGTAACTGTGGTGTTCAGGTATATCGTTTATGTCAGATCTTTGAAAAGTAGTTGCCACCATTAGGCATGGCTGCCTGGCCTGTCAACCTAGTTTGGGAATCAGCTTCCCTGAGTTGCGGCTTTTTTATTTGTTTGTGTAGAACTCTTAAAAACTATAGGGAGCAAAACATTTAAATTGCTGAACTGCCTTGGGAAATCCAAAGTCTTATTTGAAACTGTTGTGAAAAAGCCTTTTCAATCAGATGATAGACTTCCTTTCTAAAAAGCTTTTTCAGCCCTAAAATTATATAAATTCCTTTCCGTACTTCAGAACACATAGGCGCTCCTTCATGCTGTACGTTGTTCATCACAGTTTTACTGTTAGAACTGAAGCCCTTCAGAGTGTAGTGGGCTTCATGTGTGATTCAGTCTTTTGAGACAGGCTACTGTGACTATCTATATAAAGATAGGTACCGTGGGGCATGTAATTGATGTTGCAAAAGATGGAAACTTAGTAAAACAAAAATTTATTTTGAAACTATTTTCAGGACATATTCAGTTGAGCCTGTAATTGGAAAATACAACCTGCTTTCCTTTCAGACACGTAATTCTTTGAAAATGTTATCTTGGAGTATCATAAGTGTAATATAAATAACATATGGCTAGGTAATATGTTAGATTTTTATTTTATATAGCTATAAAAAATGACATTACCATTCATTTCAGCCAGTTTTTAGATGTTCGTGTTCCAGAAGAAGATATAGGCTGATTTTACAGCCCAGTGGGAGGTGTCAGTGGCGTGTACTTTAGAAAAGAAAAGATTGGTTGTTCTTTTATTTCTTTGTAAAGTGTCACTTGCTTGGAATGCTAACCAGTTAATCATAAGCTTTTTCTTTTTCATTTTGGTAATAGGCTAAATTTGGTCGAAGGTGGACCAAAATTGCAAAGCTAATAGGAAGTCGTACAGTTTTACAAGTGAAGAGTTACGCCAGACAGTATTTTAAAAATAAGGTAAGCAAAGGATAAAAATCCCAGTTCATGAGGATTATATTTAGGAAAAACGAAATCAATAATCAAAAACATTTTAGCCATAAATGCCTTATTAAAAGTTCTTATAGGAAAAATCATGTCTCATCCATTTGTTGATTGAGTTTGTAAGTGCTTTAGTAAAGTAGGCAGTCACATTGTCTGATACAGTTTTTGGCAACTAAGTTTAGAACAAAATAGAATTGCTCAGAAGCATCTTGCAAAGCATGACTTGATGGCAAAGTGAAAACCTTATTTTGATGTTTCCTCCAGAAAAATAGCTTTTTAAAAAAAATTGTATTACAAGAACATTTGGAGTATGATTTGAACCTAAAAGTTCATGTAATATAATTCTGAAACCTATCTGTTCAGAAAGGCTTAGCTATAGCTTAGTGCCTTCATCTTTCAGATCTTCTATGCATTATTCAAGCATGTAGTTTTTGATAGTTAACATTTTGAAATGTATTCTGTTTAAGTTCTGTGGACATAATTACAAAGAATTTGGAAATGTCTTGGGTGAAATGTGGTGTTATATTTTCATGTAAATAATGAGCTGTGCTCTATATACCTTATGTTTCCCTTGACACACTAAGCAGCTGACCATAAATATGTGACGTTATAGTCCACAACCGCTTCAGAAGCCCTCCTGTCCATTGAGCGTGTGCCAGTCATGTATAAATAAGCTTTTGCTAAAATTTTGTTTATGAAAATTTTATTTCAAGTCACACTCACTGACTTTCATAATCTTTTTCTTGTTACATTATCAGATATGTCTAAAGTCATAGATATGGGAAATAATTTTCTTAAATTACAACCTTTATAATATTGCAACTATATTAAATGAATCTACAGTTTGCTGCTACTGTCTATTTAAATGAAAGACGATTTTAATTTACTAAGTAAAGCTTTGTGAGGTTACTCAAATGAATTCCTTTAAATTAAAGATTATTTTGCATAGTAAGAAGTGATCAATGGAGAGTTTTGATATTCCAAGCCTTTATGAATATATTAATCTTATAAAATACATTAGTATCACAGTTATTGGTTCATTTCTTAGGATTGATCTGAGCCAGACTCTTTAAGACCTAATATTGAAAAACAGTATTTTGTAATTTTTTTTTAAGATCATCAGATCATGCATGAGTCAAGTATATTTATGGAAATTTGAAATGATGATCATTTTCATTTAAAGTGTAATTGTAAGTCATTTAAAGAAAGCACACTAGAAATTTAATATAACATTGACATATACCTAATTTAATAGCATTTCATGTGTCTGTATTTTTTGTGCTAGTGCTTACATTTTATATTAATGTTTTTTTAATGTTTCATATGTTAAAATTTATGTGATAATAATTTAAAATCACCTGATTTTTAATAAGGTAAAATTAGATGGTGTGGAGAAGGAAATACCGAATCAGAAGAGCTGTGAACTTCAGGTTAAAAGTGAGGATGAAGGGAAAAAAGTGTGGACACAGTCACCATCAGGTTTAAGGGGACTCACTGATCCCACCTTGAATGCTGTAAAAATAGAAACATTATCTGATGATGAAGAAGTGGATATCACAGATGTTATAGATGAGTTAACTTCTCAAGCACCAGAAAAGACTCCACAGAGCGGTATCTTATTAGATATTCCTGAGCGTAAAAATCATGAAACCAGTTGGGGAGAATTAATAGCTTCTGACACGGAGAAAGTGTGCTTTTCTAAGAGTTCCAAGGATCGTCAGAATATAAAGCAAGGTGGGGCAGGGCCCCTTGGAAGCCCAGTCATTCCATCGTGGACGGAAACACAAAGCAGCAGTGACAAACCAGTTGACTTACATGATGAGCAACGTAACGAATCGATCGAACACTGCGGCAGGCATTCTGAAAATGGCCTGAGAGATGGTGTCAGACAAGTGCCTCGTCTAGAGCCTTGTGAAGTTCAGAAAGCTTTGAGTGAAAAGGAAATGCATTTTCATTCTTCCTGTCAAAGTGAAGAAGAAAACCCTGAAGAAGAAGAGCTTAAGCCACCAGAACAAGAAATAGAAATAGATAGAAATGTCATTCAGGAAGAAGAAAAACAAGCAATTCCTGAGTTTTTTGAGGGACGCCAAGCAAAAACACCAGAACGCTATTTGAAAATTAGGAATTACATTTTGGATCAGTGGTAAGAAATTATTTTTATGTCCTGTTTTAAAACTCATGGCACTTTAGAGTAGTTTAATGAGGCCTATTAAGAATGTTGTATCTTACACTGATCGTGATCCAGAGAGCTTGCCATCATAGTTAAAGTGAGACTGAATTTCTCAGTGTGGAACTTTTTTGAAAGCTTTGGTAAGCATTGTCGTCGACAGCTATAGCGGAGATGCTCCTTTGCCCCATGTTTTTCGCTTCCGCTGAATCAGGGATCTTCTTGTTCCTCTTGGAGTAGCTAAACCTAGAGAGGTTACCAAAGGAAAATATAACCGGGTTTGTTAAATCAATCAATTCCATTAAATTGACCCAGTATTAAGTCACTTGTCTTTTTAGGATGGCCATATTCGAAAGGGGTTTCACTCTTTGAGTGATAGCTGTCATACAGATGGTTAGGGTCAGCTTATGACTAAGGGTGGCGCCATAGGAATGCATACTTGTAAGGAACAACGCCTGGCATTAAAAGAAACACTTACGTTATATATCTTAGTGTCTGGTTTATAACACCTGTGCTTGAGTCCTGACATGATAGTGAAGTAAGGGCTTTAATTCCCTGGCCTTGTGTCCTCATCTGTAAGATGGGAATAATAGTTTCCAATGTGTAGGATTACTATGAAGATTTAAGGATATGTAATATGATCTGGCATAAGTCCAGTAAATAGTACTGCTATCAAGTCCTGTGTTCTTACATTTTATATAATGCTGTTTAACATCTTGTACTAAGTATATTCAGTAAATGTTTTGTTTAGACATCAATTTTTTTCTGCCTCTGGAAGCTTCTTGATTTCCTTTGGGTCTTCTACAGTGTCTGTTTTCATTTTCTATTGAAAGTAAACACATAATGGTTATTGGCATAGTAATTAAAATCTAATGTAAAACATCTGAGGGTTTATAAGATAATCAACTATTTTAAAAAGCAGTGTCCAGCAAAGTAAAAGTGGATGAGCCTACGTGATATATTAAAAATTTGTAAGGCAATACTGAGTACTTTTAATGAACAATTCATTTGTGTGGCTGCTAACTGAAAGGTTGGTGGTTCGAGTCTACCCAGAGGCACCTTGGAAGAATGGCCTGGTATAAACTACTGGAAAATCAGCCATGAAAACCCTCTGAAGCCCAGTTCTACTCTGACACACGGGGGTCACTACCATCAGTTGGAATCATCTCTGTGGCAACTTGTTTTAAAACCTTTCAGTATATTCCCAAAGTGCCCCTTCTATTAAAAGATTTGGGCTGGATTGAATTTGGCTGGGTAGATGGAGTAGCTTCTTATCTACCACTTCCAGGTCCTGGGGGTAACTGGAATCTATGGAATTTACTGGTAACTAATGCTTGTACAAATCCTACTGTATTTGTGAGTTATTACATCATTTAAAGATATTAGCTTTGTATTTATAAACATTTACACAATAAGATGAGGTTAAATTTTAAGATAACTCAGTTATTAAAAGTTCTCCCCAGAGAGATTTTAATGTTTTTTTTATCCAAAATAATTGTACTTCCATCTCTTAATTAGGGAGATATGCAAACCGAAATACTTAAATAAGACCTCAGTACGTCCTGGCCTGAAGAACTGTGGGGATGTTAATTGTATTGGACGGATTCATACATACCTCGAATTGATAGGAGCAATCAATTTTGGATGTGGTAAAAATAAAAACCCAACAACATCTTTTATTCGACATTTTTTATCCTTATAGGGCCCATTAATTTCTTTGATAGTTAGAATTTAAGTAGCTTGAGATAGAGATAAGAGGATTGAAAGACACTCTGTCGTATTATGGATTAGACATTTGCAGATTTTGCTTTAAATCATATTTCTGTTGATTAAACTTTATTTTCCGTTGACCCACAATGAAAATTGGTGTGATTTTAAAGGAAAAATTATGCAATCTAAGTAAAAATATTATTAAGGATGCAATGTTTTTTGTCAGGTAAAAGGAATTTATGAGAAATAGCAATAGCCCATTTAATTTGCAGATACTGTATTGCTGCTAGAAATTCTGTCTAGCAATGTTTAAATAAAGGAAATAATTCATGAACCTCTACAGTAACATGTAATAAAAGTGCCAAAATATTTTTTCATGGAAGAAAGTTTCTTTTACTTAGGTTCTTTCAAATGTAAAGTTGATGAATATGCATGTATTTAAATGTATTCTGCCTTTTCATTGACCTGACACAAACCTTTTAAAGAAAATTGTAGCACTAGTAACGCAGTGATAAGGTAATTGGAACTTTTTAGCCCATTGTTTAACAAGAGTATATTGTATCTGTGAAAATGAACGTCTAACTAAAAATTTCCTATCAGATTATTTTATTGTCTGTGGTAGAGTCTGTCTTTGATATCAGTGTTTTTCTATGGCCATAACTCTGTCTATTGAGACTGGCTTTTTGGGGAAACTAAGACAATTTTGCTTCCTCATTCATTAAAAAGTAAAGTCACGTTTTCTATATGATGCTTCCAAAAGCCGTATTGACTGTTGCTAGGAGCTGTTGTGTCCATTGGGCTCACAGAGTAGACCTCCCCTGCCCGCATCCTTCTCGGGAGCAGAGGTGGGTCTTTCTCCCTAAGCCACTAGGTGGTGAGTAGCCAAGCTCTTAGCTGTTGTGCCTCCAGGCTCCCTCAAAGCCGGGTTAGTGCTCCTGTAATCAGAAATTAAACAAGCTCCCCGCTTCCTGAGTGTTCTATTGGATTCAGATTTGCTTAGAATAAAAGCAGTTTATTACGGTAACACAGGAGTAACTCATCAAATGTATGATTGTGATATAAGGTATTATAGAAGCCCAACTGTTAAAAAAATACAAAACCAAGAAAATCAGCCTAGAAAGCACCATAAAATTGATAGTTGGTATAGATGTGTCTCCCTATTTTAACAAACGAGTTCCATAAAATGACTGTTTTGTTTTTCCTTCCTTCGAATAGAACAGGCTGTATATAACAAACCGCAGCCAGTTGATAAAGTGAGAATCAGAGACAGAAAAGACACTGCAGAAGCTTACCAACTTGCCCAGCGTCTGCAGTCCATGGTGAGCCTGCCCTTTGCCTTCTGAATGATCCTGCTCTCTTCCCTGTAACTGTAGAGCAAGTGGCCATTTAGTGAAGAATGTGTTTTCCCTGGTGTTCCCGAGCCATTCACTCATTTTCGCATTGGCTATGGAGGCAAAAACGCCCCTACCTCCCAGCCCCCAAAACATCAACTCCTGAAAGTCCAGTGACAGTTTTATAGAGTTCGCTCTTGTTTTTGTTGAAGTGATCTAGACGGTTTGGTTTTAGTTTGGAAATTTAATGCTTCTTTTTTCTTTCCATTATTTTCATGTGGTTTTTGTTGGTGGTGGTTTAATTCTTAAGAATCAGCTTTTCTTCTGTGGATAGAGGTATAAACATAGGTATGCACTTATGTAAATATATTAAATCATAAAAATAGAGATATGGGCATAGATGCATATATTTATATGGCAATACATTGAGAAGGTGGGCAGACTTTGGGTCTCTGCTCAAGCCCGCCCTCAACGCAAGAACATTTTGTTCTAACAACCTGGCATTCTGTGATGCCCAACCTCCCGGCACAATTGCTGAAGACAAAATGGGTGCAGAAGCAAATGTGAAGAAAGCTGATGGTACCTGGCTATCAAAAGAGATAGCATCTGGGTCTTAAAAACTTGAAGATAAACAGTTGGGCATTTGGCAAAGAAGCAACAAGCCCACACGGAAAAAGCACACCAACCTGTGTGATCATAAGGTGTCCCTGTGTGATCATGAGGTGTCGAAGGAATCAGGAAACAGGCATCAGAAGACCCAAAGCTAATAAAAAAACATTGTTGAGCACGAGGGGGGTCGGAGCAGAGACTCAAAACTCATCTGTAGACAATGGGACATCCCCTCACAGAAGGCATAAGGAAGGGATGAGTCAACCACGGTGAAGTATAGCACCGATGCCCACAATATTCCTCTGGTTTCTTGAGGTTTCCTCACCACCACCCCACTATCACGACCCCAGTCCTGCCTTTCACTGTGGGCTAGACCAGAGCATGTGCACAGGTACAGATAGGTAGCTCAGGACACACAGAATCCAGGTCAGATAAATCCCTCAGGAATTGGGAATAGCAATACCAGAAGGGTAGGGGGAAGGTGGGGAGAAGAGGGGGAAAGAAACCACTGGGGGAGGGAAACAGCGGTCGGTATAAGAAATTAATAATAATCTATAGTTTGTCAAGGGTTCATGAGGGTGGGAGGGTGGGTAAAAGCTGATACCAAAGGCTCAAATAGAATGTAGATGTTTAGAAAATAATGACAACATGTACAAATATACTTGGAACAGTTGATATATGGATTTTTTTTATCGTTTTATTAGGGGCTCATACAACTCTTATCACAATCCATACATACATCAATTGTGTCAAGCACATTTGTACATTCATTGCTCTCATCATTCTCAAAACATTTGCTGTTCACTTAAGCCCCTGGCATCAGGTTCTCATTTTTTCTGCCCCCGCCCGATATATGGATTGTTATAAGATCTGTAAGTGCCCCCTAATAAAATGATCTTAAAAAAAGAAGAATCAGTCTTGGAATAGTGTTTAAAAACACTTTCTCTTTCAGTTCCCAAAGGCATCAGTGAGGTTTGCAATATATTAAAATTCTTTTAAATCCAATTTAAAAATATAAATGATCCAACAAGTTTCTTACGAAGCAGAGTCATAGAGTGAGCTTAATGGTTTTACTAATTAGAGTAAATCAATAATAGGTGAGATAGATTTTAAAAGTGTAGCATGATATTTCATGTTTCCCAAAGCGGGCAGTACTGCTCCCTGGATCATTCTGGCATCCCTCTGGGGCAGCTGCAAAAGCAGGTGAGAGGCGAGAGTGCAAATGTTTTACTGCCACGTGGCACTGAGTAATTTTTTTCCTGAAAAAGGCGTACTAGGCCAATAAGTAGATATTTTATTCAGCACAGTTAGATTTCTAACTGTGTTGCTGGTGGCAAAACCAGTTACATGCTGGTATCTGGTCCATGTTGAAGGCCTTAGTATTTAAAAAACCGGGTATTAGTAATTTGTAATTTTTCCCATTTGTATTATTAATGAGGTAGTCTTTTCCTTTTTAACGGTTTCTAGTTCCCAATACCACAGTTCTTGCATATGTCCCACCACCACAGCGAGTGAAAAGGGACGTCATTTGGTGGTTCTTTGTGGTCTTAAAAACTGTCTTTCATTCTAATGCTTCAACTTCCAAATGGTGAAAGGAAAGAAGAAATCCAAACAAGTGCAAGATTCAGAGATAATCACTGATCTCTTTCTAAACAAAATGCTAATTAGTGAACAACACACAAAGCTTAGGCATTTCTGATCAGAGATACCATATTATAGGTGTTTAAGTGAATACAGTTTTAAGAAAATGATCGTTTCTGTGGGTGTAGGTGCTGTGGTTTCTGTAAGTGAACCTCGTTTCCGGTGCTTTCTTTTACACCATGCACAGCGCACGAGGAGGCGGAGGGTTCGCGATCCCTGGGGAAACTGGTGTGATGCCAAGGACTTAGAAGGACAGACATTCGAGGTACAGCTGACCTTTGCACATGCCTCATCTATGAAAGCTGTTTTTGCCAGTAGATGTTGTATATTATAATGCGTGTATGTGTATCCATTCCATGTTGGCATTATTGTCAAGAAGGCATTCGTGTTGCGGTTAACTAGACATTTGGTTCACTTTCCGAGCTTGATTGTCTGTCTCCATGTTCTTGTCTCAACCTCAAGAACATGTGCTAGGGGGGCTGGGAAGGTGGGATGCCTGATTCATTTTTTTTCCAATGTATCATATGATGTTCTGATATACAAATTAAAATGCAGTTTTAAATGTTAGACATAAACTAAATTAAAAATATGAAAGTCTATGGACTGCATAAGCATTATAAGTGATTATATAGGACCCCTGGTGGCATAGTGGTTATGTCTTCGGATACAATTGGAAAGGTCAGCAGTTCAGTACCACCAGCCACTCCTAAGGAGAAAGAAGGGGCTTTCTACTCCTGTAAAGACTTACAGCCCCAGAAGCCCACAGGGGCCATTCTGCCCGGTTCTATAGATTCGCTATGAGTCAGCCTCGACCTGATGGCAGTCCATTTGGTTTGGGTTGGTTTATATAGGACCTGAACCCTGTTGATGCAGTGGGATGAGGATTAGGCTGCTAGCCTCCATATCCCCATTTCAAAACACCAGCTAGACCTCAGGAGAAAATTGAAGCTCTCTGCTCCCGTTAAGATAAGGTCACTGAGTGGAAATTTGCTCGATGGCATTGGGTTTATGTAGGACTTTAAGCCCTGGTGGCCACCCAGTGGTTAAGTGCTTGGTTGATTGGAAGGTCAACAGTTTGAGCCTACTAGCTGCTGTGTGGGAGATAGATGAGGGACTCTGCTTCTGTAAAGATGAACAGCCTCGGAAACCACATGGAGCAGGTCTCCTCTGCCTTCCAGGGTCTTATGTTTATGTGACTTACAGTATTGTCAGTATTTTACAAACGTTAACACATTCATCTTCACAATAACACTGAGACATAGTACACCGAGATGTATTATTATCACTGTTGTTATTCCTCTTTGAAAGATGTGGAAAGGGAACGCACAAAGCTTCACTAAGTTGCCCAGCTTACCCATCTAGTAACTATCAGCACCAGGATTCCAGCTGTAGAATCTGTGTTCTTAATCATTGTGCTCTGCTTTGTGGAAAGACAGCCCCATCGGACTTGCTGACTAAGTTAAGGAAAGTAACAAAGAAGACATATTCGTGTGATTCTGAAGTTACTGAAACCGAGTGGTTAGCACTGTTGAATGAAATGGGCAAATCAAGAAAAGAAGTAAATGTAAATTTGGTGTGGCCACGTATTCTGATACCATTTTGAAAATATATTATCCAACATTTTGTTGTTAGTGGGAGGCAAGAGAGGCATATACATCGATTTAGTCTATCTTGTTCTCTCTTGCCTGTAAGTTTTACTTTAAATCAGTATGATTCATCAATTCTACCTCTCAGTGATTGAGGGATTCCTGTTTTTTGTTCAAGCATCTCTCTGCTGAAGAGTTGGCAAGAAGAAGAGAAGAGGGAAAATGTAAACCTGGTAAATCTTTGAAAGGGCCAAGGCCCACAAAAAGGTATAGTATGTCTACATATGCTTCTCCCCTACCCCCTAGCATGTATCACAAATGCTTTCAAAATGTGTGAAACCTATACAACTAAACTGCATTTCATTGTTCACATGAAGTTTGAAAATACTACTACAAGTTTTGAATATTTATATTTCACTGATCATCCATTTGGGAGACTTAAGGCAAAGGTTTTTTGGGATCCAGAGTGTGTTATACAGGGGAGATCTTGTTTATGGCAGGTGGTCGGATCAGTCAGTATCCTTACACACATCATGGATCAAAAACTTCACTTAATTACAACTGCTTCTCCCTTTGGATGTTGCTGATTGTTAGCAAACATTTTTAATTATAAGTGAAATTTTGTAATTTGAAACATTAAAGTCACCAAAGATGTTGTTGTTTTAGATAATTGAAATATTCCTCTGAACTTATTATTTAAGCTAAACATACCCAAGTCCATCAGTGTTCTTCAGGTTCCTGGAGTTTTAGACTCCTGACTTAACTGCAGATAGCCCATTGAATTGACTGTGGTTTGTCTGTTTGTTTTAAAATAGATACCCCAGAATGCCATTGGGTCATTTCCAGTGGGTAGAACCCTAAAACCATTCATATGCCCTTGATTAAATTACTTTAAAATTTTCCTAAACTTTGGGCACTCATTTTATAAAATAATGGTCACAATGACTCATACTGTTAAATTTAAAATACTTCACATATATTAACTCATTTAATTGTGTAACAATTCTACGAGGTAGTTAATACTCTGGTTTTGCAACTGAGGAAAGCCCATGAGTTTGATTAACTCACCCATGATAGTCAGTGGTGGAACTGTGATTAAGGTTTAAGAATCTTTGTTCCTAACCATTACTTAAGTGACATAAAATGAAAATTGGAACTTTATACCCAGTGGCATCAGGAAGTTTGTGGAAAATGGAATTCAAAGATAGCTACTTTTTTCCACAAAGCTGTGCCCATCATACAGTTGCAAGGTAAATGAAGTGTGCTGGGTTATGCAACACATAAAGCAGCATTTAGACAGTTGATTTTCTCAATCTCAATACAAGACTAATATTTACTGATTTTTCTAGTGATTGTTTCAGCTTGGTAGGATCTTTCTTAATTGAAATCTACGTCTCTTGTATTAGCTATTAGAGTATAATAGATTTGAGTCTTTTTAAGTGAAAGTTACTTTTCTAATCTTAATGAAATTATGTTTTTTTTCAGCTCATTTGATCCATTCCAACTGATACCTTGTAATTTTTTCAGTGAAGAAAAGCAGGTACTATTTATGCACCAATGAGTGGCCATGTATAATACTTTCTGACCGATATTAAGTATTATTTTCTGTATGCATGGGACTGGGCTAATGTGGATGCAGAATTTTCAGAGATGATTCCTGTTCTTAAAGGATTTGTGATGTACATGTTTTTATGTAAGTGGCATGCCTCTTATCCCGTTGTATGCCCCCACCCCCATGCTCTTTTGACTCTGCAGTGGGCACTTTTATTTGGAAAAAAACAAAAAACAGCCCCTTGGGATTTGGAGAGTAAGGCGTATGTGTGTGAAGGAGCCCCCTGAAGGTATTGGGTAAGCCTTGGATTACTAATCAATCGCAAGGTTGGGCTTCAAATGCACCAGCCACTCCTAGGGAGAAAGCTGAGGCTATCTGCTCTTACAGAAACTCACCGCCTCGGAAACCCTATGTAGGGCCGGTCGCTCTGAGTTGGAGTCACTCGATGAGGGTGGGTTTTTGATTGGCTATTTGAAGGCAAGGTATGTTAGTGGTCAGATTAGTGATAGAGAATGAAGTTTCTCTATGATGGGCTTCTGAATGATAATTTTCCATTTACAAAAATCTGGTAGCACCAAACCTTGACTGGTGGTGAAGACTTGACGGGATAGGTGAATGAGAAGAGGGGGACATTCAAGTTTGGGAGAACAACATTTCTTTTTTTTTAATATTTCAGGAGCCATTTCAGGTGAAAGTGGCTTCAGAAGCACTTTTAATAATGGATCTGGTAAGGATGCTCCACTGTGCTCGTTTAGTTATTCTGATTTCTATTCTTGTGTGTTTTTATTTGCAGGCACAAGAGAGAGTATTGAAGACGTGTATTTTGGATCTTAACTATCCTCCTTTACAAGGAATCTAAAAATATGTCTTTTCTTTTGGAGAAAAGTCAAACAATTGCATGTTTCCATATTTTAGAAACTATAAATTAATGGGAGTTTGCAGACTGTTTATCATCATTGCCCTGTTTTCATTTCCTAGCCCCCCTCGTCTGCTCCCTTCCAGGGAACTGCAGCTGAGCACAGCTCCTGTCCGCTGGAGGCTCCCTGTGCGCACTCAGCTGCTGACATCGCCAGCGATTGTGTTTGTGAATGGTGTTTCTCTGTGGAAAGATCCAGAATGATTTTTACTTTCTATCCTTGTGGTATCTTTCCTAAGGAGAGAGCACAGTGCTCTCTTCATTTTGTAAATGACAAAGTAGTGTCCTGGAGCATTTAAGTCTTTTGTTCACAGCGTGTCAGTGGGCGGTGAAGACAGAGCAGAACCACCAGTCTCTGTGCGTCTAGCCTACCATGTAGTTCCTCTCCTGCGATTACTTTCCTGTGATCCGTGAGTGTTAGTGAGGCTCACGTTTTGTCTGCTGGTCGTGTGCATTGGGGCTAAGTGTGTCTTTCATTTTTGTTTAGCACGCTCATGCTTCTATGGCAGAAGTGATTGGTCTGTTAGGAGGAAGATACTCAGAAGTTGATAAAATAGTGGAAGTAAGTTCTCTTTAAAAAATTTTACTGTAGTCCTGCTGTCATACCAAATATGTTTATGAGTTCAGGGAATGTACTTAAAATAGTGACTTTACCTATGCTATGAATGGGAATATGCAAATGTAGAAATGTGTAAGCATAATAAGTCAAGTATTGCTTCAGAATCATAGAAACCATTTTTAAACAAACTAAATGGGAAAGTAAGTCTTGATGTAGCCTCCACCAAGATCTATTCACTTCTGAAGTTTGGGCATCCTTGAAGCCTCATCATGTTCTCTGAAGTGCTTTTAGCGTTGGATAACTGATTGAAGTTTTAAGAGACAAGGTCAGACTTGTAGGGTGGATTGTGTGTTTTCATATTTTAGATAAAGTAATGTGAGTTTTGCAGACTGTTTATCATCATTGACTATGTTCCCAATTAAAGTCTTAAAGAACAGTCCTTGGTCACCCTCTAAGGATGAGCAGGTACATTGTCATGATGTAAATCAATTCTGCACCGCGACTCTGCTGGCCTTTCCTCAATAGGCATTTTCCAGTTTTCTCAGTGTGTTTCTAATATGCCCTCCTGAATGTACTGTGTCCTTTGAGACGAATCTATTCAGGTTACACCATAACCTGAGCTAACCCTCTGCCTTGCATTTAACTAGCCCAGCCGATCTCTTTGAAAGGCACTGTTTTGATTGGACCTTTCTTTGTGAAGGCACTCTAAGAAGACATGGACAAGTGTATTACTGAGAAAATATGTCTGTAGCCACCCACTGACAGCAGGGACCTTCCAAACACATTTCATTTGGAATAAACCCATACGGGTGTACAAGCTGGAAGCCTAACAGTGCTTTTTCACTTACCCTCCCATGTTCCCTGGTGACTAAACATTCCATAGCGTGAGACTCTTTTACTTTACCATCAAGAAAGCAAGCACACAGCCAGGTTTGGGCCCCTTGCTATTTGCACGACTAAAATACTACATCTCCTAAGAGGCCAGGAGGTTTGAAGTGTGGTATGCGTCAGGTGTGAATAATAGGAGTCAACGAGAGAGGGCTGCTGTACAAATTGCGTATAGGCTAACCTGGAAAAGTAAGCCTTATCATGACCTTGTTTGAGTTCTCAGCCTGAGTCACGTGTCTGACATTCACTTGCAATTTATAGACTGCCTATGATATAGTCAGATAGAAACCTGGACTCTGAAAGGTTTCTGCATCTTTTTTTGAAAGAAGAGGATTTCCGTGTAATCTTAGGATGCTCAATCCTCTCCAGGTGTGTGCAGCGGAGCCCTGTAACAGCCTCAGCACTGGGCTGCAGTGTGAGATGGACCCTGTGTCACAGACCCAGGCCTCGGAAACCCTGGCTCTGAGGGGCTATCGTGTGATAGGGTGGTATCATTCCCATCCTGCCTTTGATCCTAACCCTTCATTACGAGACATCGACACCCAAGCCAAGTACCAGGTGTGTGCACAGGGTATTGTGGGAGCGGTACGTGATCCCCCGGGGAATCCTTCCTTCCCCACTGCTTTCTGCGAAGTCGATTTTTACTCTCTCTCTGACTCGGGTTACATTTCTGCTATCTTTATTTACTTCTAGGGCTCTGGAATACGATGTTTCTGTAGAGTAATCGTGTTTAGCCAGTGTTTGTAAGATGAATTGTTGTGTTAAATACCAATCACCCAGGATACTAACAGGGGTGCTTTCCCAGAGCCTTTGAAGATGGAGGGAAAGAACTAAGGACGGGACTGGGTCTCATTGAACTAGGCATAGATCACATATTTTGCATCTCTGAGTAAGACAGTCATACTTTCTTTTGCAATGTAATGTTTGGGGTGGGAATGGTATTGCCATAGGCAGCTGTTTATCAATTGCTACCATATTGATAAAGACTACAGTTGAACTGTAGCAAAGATGATTAGAAAGCATACTCCCGGAGAATGTACAATCTCCAGGGTGTGTGAAGGAACTGTCTGATTCAGTTGAATACATTGTGGCCTGAAAATTGTAAAATGTGGAATGAATATAAACATTTCGTTGCTGTGTAGATGTGAAGTTTTTAGCATACCTTTTTTGTTCACTTTCCTACACTGAATATTTAAATGTTCGTTTGGATAAATATAGTTGAAACTAATTTTACTTTACTTTTCATTGTAGAGCTACTTCTCCAGAGGCGGTGCAAAGTTCATTGGCATGATCGTTAGTCCTTATAATCGAAACAATCCTTTACCCTATTCCCAGATCACCTGCCTGGTTATAAGTGATGAGATTAGTGCAGACGGCTCCTATCGTAAGTTTGCAACCAAATCAAATTAATTCTGTACCCTAACCCTCATACCCCCCCTCGTCTTTTTAAAAAGTAGATAATGTATCGCTATTTGAATTTTCATGTGATGGAAAAATTGGTGCCTTCGACTAGAGCTACTATTTGTGTACCACCTCACGCAGCCACTGTCTTTCCCCGCGTGGTATCCTGCTAGGCTACCGGTGGCCACAGAAGTTAAAATGTGGAGGAGAATGTTGGCCAGGCAATATGTGTGCTAGACCTTGAAGACATGGCAGTAAATAAGACCAAACTCACTGCCGTCGAGTCATAGCGACCCTGTAGGACAGGGTGAGGACTGCCCCTGTGGGTTTCCAAGACAGGACTAGAAAGCGCCGTCTGTCTTCCCAAGGAGCGGGTGATGACCGCCCTTGCATTGTGATTGCTGGCCTTGCAGCACAGCCACTACGTCAACAGGGTTCCTCATGAACAAGACAGAGTCTGTTTTCATGGAAATGTGTTCCTACGTGCAGACTGGCTGCTCCTCTGCACTGTCTTGGAAATGAAAGAAAAAGTGATCACCCGGTCAATGACTCTTCATTCAGGCGGCACAATTACTATTAACTCCAAGTTACCATTCTGTTACAAGGAAGAATTCAAAATTACGCTCATCCTATGGCTTAATTCCTTTTGGAGTTGCTTGACTTGATGCTCACTAGGGGCTAAATAACAGGCCAGTTAGGAAATTAGTGTAGCGGGCACTGGGAAGGAGAAAGGGATGTAAGACTGGAAAGGGAAGATTGCAGGGACACACTGACAACGCTGCTTCCTTTCTCCGTTCTTCTTGTTCGGCATTCCTTGTCTTAATTTCTTTCTGGGCTGTGGTTAACTCGACAGGCCTCCTTGACTGGAGTCTTGTCATCCCAGAGTATCCCCACTAGCTACCAGGTGATTTTTCTAAAGCACAGAACTGCTTTCTGTGATAACATATATGGTAAAATGTTAGTGTATTAGCATAGCATCAAGAGCCTGCCTGTCTGGTGTCTTCTCCAGCTCCCTGTCAGCAATTTCTACCATGTACTTGGTGGTTCTAATACTCAGTACATCCAATGTACCTTGCAGTTTTGTGCCTTCATTCTTTTGCTCTTCCTCTCCTTATCTGCTTCAACAAGCTTCGTTTTTCTGCTCACATGTTTATCTCTTCCTCACTCGGTCAGGAGCTCCCTGAAAGCAGTACTATGTTTATATTTCGATAGATACTGTATCCTATTTCTGTCCTACTTCCAGCACGAGGCCTCGCCTGCAATATTAAGTTTAATAGCTAAGTTCTCTTTGTTCTCAGTGAGATCATCAGCTGTCATCTCTGTGGTAAAGATTAGTGTCCCTGCATTATTATTATTATTATTGTTTGCTCTGTCTTTACGTCTACACTTTTCCTGCCTTCATGGTCGCTTTTGCCTTATATTGTCATTGATCTAACATTTTGTCTAGTGCCTTACCATCTATGAAATGGTTAGAATTCACTTGAGTTTTATTGAGAATTGGCACTAACTTTAGTCTTGAGTTCGTAATATCGTTCTTTGGTCCAGTGTCATTTCATAAAAAATTACAAAAGGGGAGATCACACTTGTTCTCAATTTAAGCCCGTTTTTAGTCTCTGAGTCTGCTACATTGGGGGTGAGCTCTGCCACGGTGCTTCCCAATATCTGAGCCAGATGTGAACTGATAGCTGTAGGTGCTACTTAAGTTTAAAATAATTTCAAGTAAATTAAATATACTTCCTGAAATTCCATTTCTTGCCAAAATGCCATCACAAGACTTGCCTAAAACAAAACACTGGACAAGATACATAAAGCAGCTGTCCTCCCGGGTCTGACCTGACAGCTGGGACTCACGTGCACTTGCTGTCTCCCCAGGATGAATGGCAGCCTCTCCCACCTCTTTCTGTAAGGAAGTCAGGGAGGGCTGATGGGGTTTAAAATCCAGCCGTGGCCGTTCTACTCCAGTAAGCAGGGGCTTTGGTCTGTCTCAGCTTGAGTTTTCCTTTCTGTAAGAGAATAATGCCATCCTCCTAACAGCCTTGTTGCAAGCTCAACCTACATGAGGCACTGTATCGCTAGGATTGTGCTGTGTCTTGGTTTGGCTGGGACAATCTTGATTCTGCCTATGATTCTGGCAGGATCATTCTAGCGTCCCCAGGGAGTCTCTTTCTCTTGGTTTGGACGCTACAAAAAGTGATGATCTATATCTCACATGTCACGTTTGCTTGTCTTTAGTATTATTAATACCTTAGCGTGAATCTGCTTGGTGGATTGGTTCAGTCGGGCAATAAATACTTATTGAAGCCAAGCATGTTGAAAGTGTCGCCCAGCTGCTCTGACAAGCTGTGGTGAGGAAAACACTGGAGGGAATTTAGGTAATTAAATGGAGATTGCAGGTAGTTGATGAAAATGTGCTTCTTTGTGCTCTTCTAGGTTTACCTTACAAATTTGAAGTACAACAGATGTTGGAAGAACCGCAGTGGGGGTTAGTATTTGAAAAGACAAGATGGATAATAGAGAAGTACAGGCTCTCCCATAGGTAGGTGCTGTGGTGCGCGATGGCTGCACATCTGTCATGTTTCTCATTCAATTACGGTTTAGAGGAAGCCCAAGTTAAATGTAAGACTGTGATGTATGGCATGGGTGTTTATTACAAAATTGATTAGTTTGTAGGATTTGTTTCATTGGGTTTTGTGTTTTCATATGTCTTCCCACAGCAGTGTCCCCATGGATAAAATCTTCCACCGAGATTCGGACCTGACTTGTTTGCAGAAAGTAAGCTGCCTTCATTTTAATTGGTTGCATTGTTCACAGATTCCAAAGCTATTCATCTCGATGTGTTTTCCCAGGATGCCCAGTGCTTTGTGTATACATTGTCTGTATATTTCCCTTATTGCTTTTTCTTTTCTAAAATTAATTTCTAGGAGATAATTAGTAACGTGTTTTGTTGCTCAAGCCTGTACACACAAAAAAAAACACTTTAGAACAAATTTGTCAGTGTTGGTTGATAAAATTTCTTAGCAGATTCATATTGTACACAATGGAGAACATTCTTCTCGTTTTATTAAATTCAAAAGCACTGGATTTCCACTTTAGTCTTAACAATCGATGGCTTTTTAAGAATGCTGGTATCAACCTGGCAATTAAATTTAAATGGTCACTTTACTTAATGTTCTGGTAGGTACTGTGGGTTTTTAATGATCTCACTTCTAGGTTCCCTTTTGTAATGAATTAAGACCAGTTAATAACTGACGGTGGTTTTTGTTGGGGTTGGTTAGCAATTTGGGAATGGAAAACTTAAACCTATTAATTGTTTCTAGTTCATATTTTTTGTTCTCCTGTTACATCCCTTTATCCTCTGTGCTACTGGAAGATTAATTCACCCAAATCTCAGGAAATGGGCCGTAGCATCCTAACGTAGACATGGCAGAGCCCTGGGTTTGTATCACCTGGACTGTTCGCCTGTAGGGTTAGCCTGCTTTGTAAAATACAGCCACTAGGAGAGCAGCAGAGTCACCAAATCAGAAACATCATCTCTGCAGTCTTAGTTTGTCTGATATGGAAACTGCGAAGGAACTGACCTCAACATTCCTCAAGGCTGGTTTCCTACCCACCAGCGTACAAGGGGGCGTCCAGGAGTCCATAGGAAAATGGAAAGAAAGAGAATGGAATTTTTCCACAAACTTTGAAGCACATTCATAGGGTTACAAACCGCAAGGTAATCTTCAATCACGTTTAAGGAAAATGCTTTTCACATGAGCACTGAGAAATGTGAGATTTGGAGCACAAAGAAATAGTGGTACTGTAAATGCTCTCTGTACACTATTTGTGTACTTATATGTAAAATGTTTCTTTTCTCCTAGCTTTTGGAGTGTCTAAGGAAAACGCTGAGCAACGTGACCAATTGCTTCATTGCTGAAGAATTCTTGACTCAAATAGAAAATTTGTTCCTTTCCAATTATAAAAGCAAGCACGAGAATGGAATAGCTGAGGACAGCTGTACTACGGAGCCTCCCAAAGAAGTGTTAATGTGACTCAAAGTAAGAGGTTGTAAGCTCGTCTTACTGTCAACACTCTGGCCTTGATCGGATTGTAATGTAGCTCACAGGGGCACAGCCGCCTGGTGCACACAAGTAAACCACGTAAGGCATGGGAGGAGAGAGATGGGCTTGTCATTGTCATGGCCCTCAGGGCTGGCCACCCAGGGTTCCCGTCCTCGCAGGCAGGCATTGCATGCAAGATGCAGTCGTGTACGATAAGCAGTGCAATAGCCTGGGAACTCAGAACGGGGTCCGCGTTGCATTGTTACATTGCGATGATAGTGAAGTGTGTCTATAATGTGTTTCTCCCCTGGATCAACCTTCTCATTAGATTCCACTTTGGTGCCTCACTTCCATTCTTTCCATAAGTTTTGGTGAAATGGTTTACAGCTGCTATGGGGGGTGGTCCCTGAGGTCATTCGGGCTGAAAATAGTTCACAACTGCTGACTTAATAAATGTGGCATCCTACCGAGAGGCAGGAGGGGATGTGGAGGAAACGGTAGAAGAACAGATAAGAGAAAAGGCCGAAAGAAGAAAATCCCCATTCCAGTCTTTTCTTCATTGAGAATTGCTTCCATTTTACTTTGTCCCAGAACTGCTTCTCCATCTTCTAGACTACAGGAGACCTTTTTCAAGGATCTCACTTACAGAAATGATCATAGCAGTACGTCCACTTACTGTAGGACCACTTTTAAGCACATCATCAGAAATCAGAACCCTTAAACTACATTTCCACCACTCCCTACTGAGGAGAAAGAGAAATGAGGTAAAGCTTGACTAAATCAAATTTAGTTCTGAAAAAGCCTTCCAGGAGGTACCACTTGTCCAACCCAGTCTCCCATCTTTCTGATCTAGGATGGGGTCATCAGACAGCAGTGTAGGCTTTGCGGGTCACATGCAACCCTTTAGAAAGGTAAAAGCCATTCCTAGCTCAGGGTTCGCGAAAGACAGGCTCACTACTGCCACCAAGTTGATTCTGACCCAGCATCCCTGCCCAGGGTTTCCAAGACGGCTGAACCTCTGATAATGCCGACAGCCTCATCTTTCTCCCCCGAGCAGCAGGTGGGCTTGAAGTGGCATTTTGATTCAGTTAGCAAGTGCGTTCACAGCCCTCATCCCTGTGTGTAGCCCAGTATGCCATTAAAGGCCAGCTACTGGCCCTTATCTTCCAACTCCTGATCTAGAGAACTGCGAGCAGCAGTGTATCCATTAAGGCTCCTGACCCTGAGCTACACTGCAAGGTCTGGTGTGGTCATTAAACAACAAAGATCGAAACGTTTTATTCTTATTTGAAATAATACTTCCTTGTGTCTGTGAGTAGCTCATGACATTGGCGGGCCTCGCTGTGTGAACGCTCCCCCTGTTTCCGTTCATCTAGTGTCCCCGCTGTTCGCGTACTTCCTCACCTGGCTTGTAAAGGCATTGTCGGCCACGTGGTAGTTTGTCACCTTTAAGTACATTTTTACTGAAATGAGTAGTCATGTTGCCTGACTTACTGTACAGATGTCAGCTCATTTCTGTTCATCGAAAAATTATGCATACCCCTTTTCCTGATTGTTCCTAATACCACGAGTTGTATTAGACCCACACTGGGTCTGCCTCTGTATTTTTGCTCTTTGGGTTGTAGTCAGTGGCCAGGGAAGACCGGCTGTGTAGAAAGGTCGGTCTTGTCGCCATCTGACTAGCTTGGGAAAAACCATCTGTGTGCCTTTTCTGGGCCTGCCTCAGCTCCTCTTGTGTCACCCAGGTCTACTGACACTCCATGTCCTCCCAGGTCCAAAATTGTGCAGCTCATTGTCACTCTTGGCCTACTCACCTGGAACTTCCTACTTTGAGGGATTATAGTTATAATTAATGTGTGATTTTAAAGGAAAGTGTTAGGATTTTTCCTTTTGTCTGTATTCATTTAGGATAAGCAATGAAGCCATAAGCAGAGCAGCTGCTTTGAGGAGTGAGGGAAAACCCGAATATCATTTCGCCTCTCTCTTTCTCAGGCAGCCATCTAAGGCCTGTGAGGATGCTGACTGCCCAGCTTCAAAGATGAGGGCCTTAAGAGCGTGATTTTGAAGTACTATTTTGTTTCCAATTATAAGTACCATATATACTCTAGTATAAACTGACCCGAATATCAGCAAGGCACCTAATTTTACCACGAAAACGGCATTAAAAATGTGCTGGAAAAACCTGGCTTATACACGAGTATATATGGTACATATTTTATTTTAGAAAAACCATTTTTAAGATATAAAAACCTATAAAGAAAATTAAAATTTCTCAGTTCTACTACCAAGAAAATGACAGTGCACATTTTACTAAAAACCCTTACCCCGTTTTTCTGAGTGTAGCGTTAGAGCGTTGAAGTGATGAATCTTTTCCTGTCTCCTCATGCCATTTTTCTGCTTCCTTGTTGGTTCTTAATCACACAGCCAAAATGATTTGCAGCTGCAGATGCCTGCGCTCCTGTGACTACCAGCCTTGAGGATAACTGAAGCCCGGACTTGGACATGTGCAGAAAACTGGAGCTAGAACTACTGAGACTATTATACAGGAAGTCCAGCAGGCAGGGGTAAAATGTGGCTTTCCCACCGGCTCTAGTCTGTAGCCCAGGAGACCTGGTGGCCTAATGGTGCTAACCCAGAAGTTGGCAGTTCAAACACACCAGCCATGCAGTGGAAGAAGTACCTGGCAGTCTGCTCTCATAACAACTACTGCCTAGCAAGCCTTCCAGAGCAGCTCAACTCTGCCTGTGAGCTCGCCGTGGACCAGGAGCAGCTCAGTAGCACCCAACATCAAGAATAGGGTGTACAGAAGTTGAGACAGGGCTTGAAGACATCCACGTTCCTGTATCCTGTATCGTGCTTCTTTCTAATTCTAATTCAGTGATCTAACACTTTTTCTGTGGTGGTTTGGCTTGGCTAATAGAAATTGAGACTAGTACTCCAGTATTAAATCTAGCTCGCTTTCAAAACATAATCCAAAGTGACATTAAAAAAAAAATATCAGACTTGACTCCCCATTTTGATTATCCTACCCTTTTGACTGTTCCTCACTTAAGAGGTCTTCAGCTTACCTTTCCTACAGACAGTTTGGCCATGTGTTCAGGGCTTTGGTGGGCTGCAGTCAGGTTTATAAGGAGTCCTGACTAAGAGCTCGGCTGCTCACCAGAAGGTCAGCTGTAGCTCCAGCCTAGAGCTCCGTGATCCCGCTCTGCTGGAGCGCCCAGAGCGGTCATTGCCCCTCTGCCTGACAGGCACTCCTAGAGCTGCTGCTGCCCAAACATCCTCCAAAGGACATTTACTTTCACGACCCATACTAGCCCACCGTTTGGTGGGGGCACCTTACTGCTTCTTTCCTGAGGTTCATCCCTGCGTCCTTACTGCTGCCCTCCCTTCTCAGCACACAGGTGAACGCTCACTCGTTCTCTCACTGGTTCAAAGATAGACCTCTCAAGTAGACATGAGAAGACTCATTTACCTTTCTTCTCAATTTCCCCTCTGTCTGGCAAATGGCACAGGACCGGCCCCTGCTGCTCTCGGGCCAGCAGAGGAATGCCTGGCCTGAGCAGGCCTCCTCGCCCTGAAAGTCTGCCTCCTTCCTGTGTCGCGCTGCCGCCACCTGCCTCAGTGAGCTGGAGGAACTGCTACCAGTCAGCATGCCCGGGAACGGGCGCTCTGCCCTGTGCTTTGAAAGAGCCGTCAACGCTCCACAGCCTGCAGTGTAGCCCCTCCCGCCTCCTCCTCAAGTCGGCAAAGGTGCCCCGTCCCGCGCTTTCAGTCAGGGTTACTCCCAATTTTTTTTGAACCTATACCTTCCTCTTCAAAAATTAAGAGACATTTAAATTTAGAGTCACATCATGCATCTAAGAAAACCTCACAGGAGCATAAAGAAAAGCACACACATTTTTATAATCATCCCACCAGGGCTCATTTTAAAAATTACAAATAAATGCCATATTTTGCCGTATTTCCAGAAAATCACTGTGGGAGAATAATGTATTTGAGCTTATTTCAAAGCTTTTCTTTAAAAAATCCCCCCTTTTAACCTGTAATGTGTACTTTCTAGTATTTTCTAAATCTGGCTGTTAAACTACTACCCTGCTTTCTAGAACAAGGAGGGGTAACCGAGGAGAAATAAGCACATCCACCAGAAGCATGAGTGTGCCAAGGCTCTGTGCAGAGCTGACAGGGAATCTTCCACTTCCGTGACGTCTGAGTTGTCTTCGATAGTTTACATGTGGTGTTTATGTCCATGTGCTTTTGAACTCTGATTTCCAGGATGCCTGCTTTGCTGTCCGTGGGATTCCTAGAGTACGCAGGCCCTCACAAACAGAAGTCTGTTACATACGCCTCCGTACTCGTATCCTGCGTCCTCGTGATCTCAGAGCACCTTTTCAACCTGGGGTTTATGAAACAGTGCTTACTTTCTAGCATGATTAACTAGCTCGCTCATATGTCTTTAAATCTGTGGGTCTGACCTGTAAATTATGTGTCTGGTTTAAGTTCGCTAGACATTCTGCATGATTATTGATAAACCTGTTGCTATTATTTTTCCCAAATGTTTATCAGTATGTACAGACTTCTATCACTAGTTTGGATTTTGGAATGTTCTGAGTATAATGATTTAAAGCTATTTTTTACATTTATGGATGATGCTATGATGTGTATATCTCTATTAAGGAATATTGTGAATATTAGTGTTTATAGAATAATGAAAGATTTTCCTCAAAATAATTGGCCTTCCCTCTCATACTTAACTGCCATCGTGGTATATTATGAAATGAATAACTAGACTTTCAGATTTTATCTTGTAAAACTCAAGGGGAAGTTTACTGTAAATAAAATTTTGAAAATGGAAATAATCATTTGGCATTTTTTCTTAATTATTAACATTCGAATTGAATTAAATACAGATCTCAAATCTCGGTCTCCTCTCAGCAAGCATGCTGTCGTAGCGAGCGACTCACGCTGCCATCGAGTCAATGGTTGCTCGGCGACTGCAGCACGGGCGGACACTTGACGTGAGCAGAAAGCTTTGTTTTTCTCCTTGGAGCTGGCTGGTAGTTTCAAACTGCTGACCTTGCGATTGGCAGCCCAACTCAACTACTGTGCCACCAGGGCTCCGTAAGGTGTGATTAAAAGGTTGGAAAAATAGCATGAACAAATAAAACTGAGGTGCAAGGTGGGGCTGATGATCAACAGCTCCCAAAGACTGCCAGCCCACGCCCAGTGCCGTGTCATTGTAGCAGCCCGGTCGGCTTTTGCTGGAACGGGATTTGGGGGAATGTGTTCCAGAGAGAAGTGAACGTGGGATTGCCACAGAAGTAAGGGGAAAGTCAGATGGTCAGTCTGACTAACGGGGGTTGTGTGAAAGTAATCGACATTCAGCCAATCGAAGGCTAAACCAAAACCGCACTCACTGCCATCGAGTGGGTTCGGCTCCGGGAGCCCTGGAGGACAGGGTAGGACTGCCCCTCTGGGTTTCTGAGACTGGCACACTTTACAGGAGTGGGAAGCCCTGTCTTCCAAAGAGCAGCCAGCCCAACATGTAACCACTACGCCACCACGCTCCTAAATCAGAGGCTACTGAAAGTATAGAGTGGAAATCCAAACTTTAATCAGTATTGGCTGATTCACTGTTTTTTAAATTCCTGTCTTTCTAAATATACAAAGCCTATACCTTTCAAAACAGGATTTTCGATGCCTGCAGCTTCTGTACATCTCTCATTACGGGCATCATTCTGCATCGGCACACAGACTTCGTGCTCTGCAATAGGCACATCGCGTTTGTTGTACGGGCCTCGTCAGTACTGAGGTCACGTCAATTAATGAACTGTAGGTTCCGATTTCTCTATTAGAATTTTGTCCCTCTTTCTACACACGAATTAATATTTCTGGGGATTCCTAAGAAGTTGAGTTGCTATGTCGAAAGCTATCCACCCCTTAAATTTCTAATTTTTATAGGCTAATGTCCCATGTTCTACTACAGGCACGTTCATTATCTTGTTGGCAGAACCAATTTGAACTTGGGCACTGAAATGATGATAATGTAGGTGACAGAATACAGTGAAATCCTGAGCATTCTAATTCCACGAGGCATTTATTTCATTGGAAGTTCAATCCTCTATGCAGCTGGCAGGGGCTCTTGCTAATTAAGCCTTTGCAGTAATTTTCTGATTTGCAGCCAGCATACTTGGCTCTGGCTCCAGAGGCCAGATTCTTTCAATCCTATTTGTACTCTAATGATTATTCTTACTCTTGGTAATGGTGTTCTACCTCACTGATTCTCAATTATCTTCCCATAGAACACCAGCTTAAATAAAAGTGTCAGTATTTCCCCTTTCTGCAGAGTCTCACTAAGTAGAATGTTTATTTTAGTCTTTCATATATTTCTCCTATCAAAGCATCCATGAACAGCTATAATATGTGTTAACTGAGGATAAGCAATGAATGTCCCACCTATCCCACTTCCATGAACAATCGCTCGCTGCCATTGAGTCGATGCTGACACAGTGACCCTAGAGGACAGGGTAGGACTGCCCCTTGTGAATTTCCAAGACTATAGGAGTGGAAAGCCCATTCCCCCAAAATGCAGAATTGGAATGTTTCAGAAAGTGAATTAAGTGTTATGACTGTCTGCTGAATCCGTTCAGCAAGTTCACTCTATAGATCAATTACTTAATGATTAGTGAGCTAGTGTGTCAAAAAAATTAGATAGGATTCTGTAATAATTGTGGCTTTCATATAACCACTTATAACGGGATTGTGTACCTCATGCTCATATAGCAGATAGTGTAAAGGAATCCTTTGATATGACATGTTTTAGAAGAGAGAGAACTGTTTTCCTAAAAAAAAGTTAAGTAGATTAACACCCCGAACCCTTCTCCACCACTCCCTGTTTTCCTTCATTTCCTCTCCAGTCTTCCCTCTCTACCTCTGCTTTTTCCCGTTTCCATTTGGATTCCTGCACCATCCAATGGAAAAATACCTTTGGGTGAAGAAAGCTCATGGTGCCGGCTATCAAAAGATATAGACTCTGGGGTCTTAAAGGCTTGCAGGTAAACAAGCGGCCATCTAGCTTTGAAGCAACAAAGCCCATATGGAAGAAGCACACCAGCCTGTGTGATCACAAGGTGTTGAAGGGATCAGGTATCAGGCAACAAAGTATAAAAAAATCAAATCATTGTAAAATAGGGGGAGTGCAGATTGGGAGCCCAAGACCAATCTGTATGCAACTGGACATCCCGTTACAGAAGGGTCGTGGGAGGAGACAAGCTAGTCAGGGTGCAGTGTAGCAATCATGAAACACAACTTTTCTCTAGTTCCTAAATGCTTCCCCACCACCCCCACCCCCACTGTCATGATCCCAATTCTGCCTTACAAATTGGCTTGACCAGAGGATGTACGCTGGTACAGAGAGGAACTGGAAACGGAATCCAGGACAGATGATCCCTTCAGGACCAGTGCTGAGAGTGGCAATGCCTGGAGGGTGGAGGGAGGGTGGGGTGGAAAGGGAACCAACCGATTACAAGGGTCTACATAAAACCTCCCTGGGGATGGACAACAGAAAAGTAGGTGAAGGGAGTGGGTAAGATATGACAAAATAATAACTTAGAAATTATCAAGGGTTCATGAGGGAGGAAGGAGCGGGGAGGGAGGGGGAAAATGAGCTGATACCAAGGGCTTATGCAGAAAGCAAATGTTTTGAGGATGATGGCAACAAATGTACAAATGTGCTTGACACAATGGATGTATGTATGGATTGTGATAAGAATTGTTCGAGCCCCCAATAAAGTGATTTAAAAGAATAAAAGAGCAAAAATTAATCTCATAGATCTGGAAGTTAAAAGTCCAAAAAAAATATCTTTGGATAATTACAAATAAGTGCTAAACAAATCCTGCTCACACATCAGTTCCTTAACATGCAACTTACATCGTACTCCACAAAGTCCAAAGCAGGAGTAGCTGCTGCTGAGGCTGTCGTGGTCGCGGCTTGGAAGTAGGTGTCACTTGTGCTCAGTCTCCACCTGCTTCCCAAAATGCTACATGCCGGAACGGGAGCCTGAATTGTGTTAGTGATAACAAAATTGATGATTTGGTTTTAACCAAACGTTTAATTTCCTTTTCAAACGGACTTTTTAATCTCCTCTTCTTGAGGCTCCAACCAACTTCATTTTTAAGAAGTTGAACCCAATGGTGCCTGGCTGTTACAGCTGCCTGCTCTGACAGGGATCAGAACAGGAGGTCCTGGATAGAGTGGGGCGACAGATTTGGAGTTTGCTTTCTTGCTGTGCTGGTAGAGATGGTGGGACGCCTGAGATTTATGGTCCTTGGGCACCCTGCTGGCCTGGAATTGAATTTAGCCTATGGGACCAAATTTCAGCCCAACAGTTGGCCTACAAGGAGTTAAAAATGGGGGCTAACCCATAATAGCATTTTTCCTATGTGTTCCACCTGATGTCGTCCACAAAGGATCGTTTCTGTTTCTTTTGATTGAAAAAAGGCTGTGGTGAGGCGCTGTCCAATCCGTCTGACTCAGAGTGACCCTGAAGGAAGCACTACCGCTCCCGCACCGTCCGCACGATGGTTGTCACATGTTTGAGCCCGTAGTTGCAGCCACGTGTCAATCCATCTCGCCAGAGGCTTCCTCTTTATCCCTGCCCCTCTGCTTTCCCTAACACGACGTCCTGCTCTCTCCCGATAACACGTCCAAAGTGAGCAGATGCTCGCCCTCCGTGCTGCTAAGGAGCCTCTGGCTGTGCTGCTGCCAAGATAGAAGTGTTGCTCCCTTTGGTAATCTGAGCTACTTTTCTTACCCTTCACCAGCTCCACAACCCAAATGCAGCGGTTCCCTGGCAGTCCCACCTATTCCAACTTTCACATGCAGATGAAGTGATTGAAAGTACCGTGGCTTGGATTGGGCACACGTTAGTCCTCTAACATCCTGGCTTTTCAACATGTTATGAAACGGGTTCTCAACCTTCCTAATGCGGCGACCCTTTAATACAGTTCCTCATGTCGTGGTGACCCCCCCAAACATAAAATTATTTTTGTTGCCACTTCATAACTAACTTGGCTACTGTTATGAATCAGGTAATCCCTGTGAAAGGGTTGTTCGGCCCGTAAAAGGGGTCGCGACCCACATGTTGAGAACCACTGTTATAAAAGGTCTTGTGCCGCAGATATACCCAATGCAGCGTCTCATTTGTCTCTTGCCTGCTGCTTCCATGAGAATTGTGGACCAAAACTTTCGGTCTTACAAAATTCTATCATGCCATCTTCAGCATCATTTCTAATTATCAATGTATCTTGATAGCATATTTGATCAATTTCAATAAGTTGGTAGAATTCTTTAATCTCTTCCTCATCGGCTTTCATGGTTGGTGCAAAATTTGAGTAATGGCCCTATTAGCTGGTCTTCCTTGTAGGTATTAGTCCATCACTGTACTTCAAGATAGATCTTGGAATGTTCTTGATGACGATGAATGTAACATCATTCCAAGTATGGTAAGCCATAGGATTGTCTGATTTTATATGGCCAATCCCAATCTATTCCCGCTCAGTACTGCCTAGGATCTCGAACTTTGTGAATTCCATGTTGTTTTTGATGACCTCCAATGTTCTGTGATTCATCCTTGGTACAGTCGCTTAGTAAAGGATGCTGGGAAACCCATCCAGGTCAGTAAGGTTGACTCTATTGTGGGGAGCCAGTTCTTCCCCAATGTATTTTGGGCACCCTCCAACCTTACGGTCTCGTCTTCTGGCACCACATCCTGGTTCTATTCAGTTTGTTTTCAGACTCGTGTCCTAGGCTGTCTTAGTCTGGAAATGCCGAGGAGAGCTGTCCACCACGGGTGGCCCT